CGGCCAGGTCTTAACCACAAACTTGGAGTGTCCGGGGACCGAAGCCTCTTCTACGTTTCGCATGGGCAGGCAGGGTTCAGAGGCTAAGTCACCATAGAAAGGCCATATCCGCTAGGAGAATACCAACGCCTTTAATTCTAGCGCCATCTTCGTGTATAGAGCTCCACCCACTCTAGATTTGCCCTCCGCAGTCGTGTGAGTGTAGTGTGTGTGTGTGTGTGAGTGTGCGTGTGTGTGTGTGAGTGTGTGTGTGTGTGTGTGTGAGTGTGAGTGTGTGTGTGAGTGTGTGTGTGTGGATTTGACTGTGCGTCTCTGTCTATGTCTTTCTGCCGTCTAGCTCTCCCCCTCCCTCTCTCTCTCTCTCACACACACACACACACACACACTCTCTCTCTCTCTCTGCACCTCGACTTTCCCCTCCCTCTGCAGCACAGCATCTACCAACCCCATCCTTCACACCACCACCACCACCACCACCACCACCTTGAGCGTGTAGTCGCCAAACGAGCGGGAGACGGCGAGCATGAGCGGCGGCGCTCCGCCGTAGCGGTCGCGGTGTTGCGTCGTCGCGCGCGAGATCCCGTACACCTGATGGCAGCAGCAGCGGCGATGGTGGTGGTGGTGGTGGTGGTGGTGGTGGAGAGTGAGGGGTGGTGGTGGTGGTGGTGGTGGTGGTGGAGAGTGAGGGGTGTGTAAAGGTGGGTTGAGAGGGTGTGAGCGGAACAGCGTGTGGGTGTAACATAAACACACGTTCAGCTCTTCCACTTGTCGGTTCTCACCTCGACGACACGGCCGCCGGCCTCCTTGATTCTCTTCGCTTCGTCTGAGCACGACAATTAATTGCAATGGTGTGTGAGGGGCAATCGTCGACAGCAGCAAATTGCGGAAGAATGTGGGAGATCCGGTCAGGCAGACTACATCACATCATTACACACAAAGACATAGACAGACAGCTGGCAGACACACACACACACACACACACACACAGACACACACACACAGACAGACACACACAGACAGACAAACAGGCACGCATACACACAACTGCACACCTCGTCTGCTTGGTTTGTGGTCAACGCTGAGCGGAACAGCACGTCCGTCTCTGCAGAGAACAGCGCGGCAATCGCCCAAATTGGCAACAACCACGTGCGCATTGTACCTGATGGGGTGGAGATGGAGTGATGAGGATTGGGGCAGGCACCGCCTTCCTCCGTACACCCGCACACACAGACACACACATATATACACACACATATATACACACACATACACACAGACACACACGCACACAGACACACGCACAGTCATACAAACACACACAGACACAGACACACACAGACACAGACAGACACAGACAGACAGACACACACACACACACACACACACACACACACACACACACACACAGTCCCAACTAACTTGCTGTCACCGTTGACAATGGCGACGAGTGCGGTTGATCCGGCCTTCATTTTCTTGCGTTTCGCCAGGCCGACAAAGTTTTTGTCCGTGCATTTAAACCCGTCCTTGACGCATTTCAAAACGGTCTGCAGGTAGGCCATGTCCAGCTCGTGACCCTCGTGAACCTTTGCCTCCAACAGGCGCGTAATCTCCTGCGTGGGTGAGTGAGAGAGTGTGTGAGTGAGAGTGAGTGAGAGTGAGTGTGTGAGTGAGTGTGTGAGTGAGTGAGTGAGTGGGTGCAAGTATTCGCCTGTCCACACTGCACACATCACACTGCACGTCCCATCCCCACGTCCTCCCTCCAACTCTCTGCCCCGTACCTTGAGGCCGTTGATGGTTGCGAGAATCTGCTCGTCACCGGGACTTGCGCGCAGCAGCACTTCCAGCTGACGTCGTATTGATGGTGATGGTAATTTGGGTTAATTGTGGTGAATTAAACCATGCAGAGGGAGCGTGGCAATCAACAGGTTCCACGCAAACACACCCACACACACGCACACGCACACGCACGCACACGCACACACACACACACACACACACACACACACACACACACACACACACACACACACACACACACACGCACACGCACACGCACACGCACACACATACACACAGCGTGCTCACCTGCTTGATCTGCTCCTGGTATGTGCTCAGATCACGGAACGATTCTGCACCATCAGCATGCAGACACGTGCGCGAGGATTACCGCCTTGATCCAATCATCGCAATCCACAACATCCACAGCACCTGCACGCACCACATCCACATGCACACGCTTTTGCATGTGCACATCCATCACTGCTTCTTGTCGATTACCGGCAGTGTCGGCATCGACGTTGCTGAGGGGACCGCCGTGGTTGAAAGCGCCCATGATGTTGCTGATGCGTGCAAATTGGGAGAAAAGAAGAACAAACACAAGATGAGCGGAGAAGATAGAAGAGGTAGGCAGGATGGCGCGCACGCGCCGAAAAACACGCGCCTGTTTCTAACACAGCATACACACTCACATACGCACACAATAACACACTGCTGAGGTTTT